ACTTAAAGCATGGCTAGGTGCGCTGATGGGCAGGGACGGTGCTTTCCCGGAGAGCCTGCGAAGCCTCCCCCGGCCTTGCTGCCCCTCCTCTCCCCTCCCCGGCCCGCAGGAGCCCCTCATCGCTGGCTCATCCGCTGGAGGCCAAGGCCATCTTTTGTTCCCCTGGCGATGAGCCGCCGGCCCCGGGGACCTGCTCCGGGGGCTGACGAGGCCGGGTGGGCTGGGGGTCGGGATCTGCTGCCTCCTGATCTGGGATTTTGGCTAAAGCTGCTGCGAATTCCTCTTCCTCAAGTGGTCTGTGCAGAGTGGGGTGACTTCTGCAGTCAGGGGAAGGTCGTGATTATGAAGGTGGTTAACCAGAAAAGTGTTTATTTGATCTGAATTTAGATGTTTGCACTAAAAAAAAAATACATGGCAGTCAGCTCTGTGTCAGTTTGTATGGAAGTATTCACAGCACATACTAAGTTGCTCTGCATCTTGGCTGCTGGAGGAATTCAGAAGGATAATCAAGTAGAAAAATTCCATCTTTGACCTGCGTGTTCATGGTACTTTTAGGCATTTGAAATCACATTGGTGTTTTCAATGTTGTGCCCCAACATTCATTAAACAGGTAGCTGCCACGATGCCCTCAATTTACAAATTATAGGTACGTGGGGTTTAATTATGTCATTGAATTTATGGCCAATCTCAAATACAGAATGACAGACTGCTGCTTGTGCCTGGATAAATATTCTTCTAAAACTAGGAGCAGTTTTGTTTTTGTGGACTTTGGCCATAGTGGGAAAACTTGCCGCCTTTCACAATACTTTCATGTCTTGGACAGTGACCACTTCAAACAAAAAGATGTCTTTATTAAAGCCTCCCTTCCCCTTTCACTTTATCACAGCTGCTAGCTAATGAACTTGTGAAGTACAATTTAGAGCAAGTCTTGGTTGCAAATATTTCAGGTAAATGCTGAATTACTTTTAATGGTTTAATCCTAGAAAGGAGTTTGACTTTTAGATTTAATACCTAAAATGCTGGGCAAATGTGGTGTATGCATATGGTGTCAATTTATTGGGTATTTTAATGATTTGAATCTGGTTTAGCAATGATGCACAAATAGCCCAATGACAAACTTGAAAAAGTCTGCAAACGAACCTCCTCTGCTTATGGAGCTTGTTTTAGAAGGTGTTGACAACTTTTTCATATCCTAGGCGTCGTTTCTAAAGTAATTACAGTAAACAACTACAGTTTGTAAAGATCCACTTGATCTGCTGTCCCAATTTTAGTTTGGAACGAAGGAAAGCAGTGAAGTTCACTTCAAGTAGTGCAAGTTGTTAATGTGAAAGTAATTTATGTGTAAATTAACTTGGTCTAAAGTATGAATATGAAGAAGAATAAAGAAGGAAAGAAGAAGTAGCTAATATAGGCATGCTTTGCTTGCCATTGCTTCTGTAGCTGTTGTTTGCATTCCATTGCTGATTAGTGCTGTTGTTGGGCTTGCAGACAAAGCAGCTGGGTTCAGTGTGAGTATGAAGCAAATTTTTCCCATAAGGATTAATGTAAGAGTGGGGAAATCTGTACAGAGGCTTAAATACAGAGATTTGAATGTGTAAGGGCAATGAGATTGAAAACATGACTCAAAATTTTCAGTGGGAGCGTTCTTGTTACCTCTTTATGACAATGAAGACGATCATTTGAAGTCTTCCTCAGCTGATTTTTCTGGATTAACCTTGATGGAGGATGGAAAAACAAGCTAAGGATTAACTGTTTGATCAGATCAAGCACTTGAGATCACTTGGAATGGTTATCCATTGCAGGAAGCCAACTTCTCCTCCACTTGATGATACTGATTATCTTGTATAGGTGGTACAAGGTAACACATCAGTTCTTACGAAAGAAATCGCTTTGTTAGCGGTTTGATGGGTAACTAAGTGTACTTCTCGTGGGTCATCCTTCGTGGACAGTGATTATGCCTAGATCTTGCTTAACATGCCTTCTGTGCTCTGGTACTTTTTTGGTTTCTCTGTTTCAAAGAAACAGCATAACATCACTGAGCATTAGTGTTAAACCTTTAAGAACAGCGGAGGCCCCAATGGGAATAAAAGGTAGACAGAGTTCAAGTACCTATAATGTGCTGGTTTGCCTGGCATACTTGAAATGTGTTCCTTCTCTGTTTCTAACTTAATTTCATCCTTAATCTTAGTCATGATGCAGGCTCTAGTTTCAAGTTCTTCACGCTTGAAATACTGGTAAGATTAGATCAGCCTGTATGGTCTAATAATGCTTGTGCATGTCCAGTGTAAGAACGATGTTTAAGAAATACCTTTTTAATTACAATTTATTTCAGATTTACGTACCAGTAATGTCTATGCTGCAAGGAATTCTGAAGTACTGTGTCTTCCAAAAGTAGCATGTGCTCAGACACTACAGGAAAAAGCTAAATAAGTTTATTCAGGACTCTGATCCTAAGCACACCCTAACTAACCAAATTAGTTTTTGCTTTTTGCTGATGTACAACGCAGTAATGAGACCACGTGAATAAAATGGAGAAATGATTGTCATCTGCCCCTTGCAAAAGCTGTTGTTTTGCTTAGCTAGGTGCCCTATTACAAGAGACGTGACTATATGTCACTAATGGCTTCAAGGGGCTGGGAATGAAGAAACTTGTAAATGACAGAGCTCCCTTCAAAGGATGGGCAGCTTAATTAGTGAGGATATGATGTTAACTGTGGAAAGCGTAGTATCAACAATTAACTTCTCAGACCTCTAACAAAAGCAGAGGGGCTGTGCAGTGCTGCATTTAGATGCTTTGAGTCTTCTGAGATGTGCCTTTTCATAGGAAGATTTTTCAATACTTTTAAAACTTCTTTGGGAGCTGTTAGTCGTAGGCTTCCAACTCGGTCTGTTATCTGAAAGTGCATCTGGCTGACCACGCCCTCTCATTCATGCTGTGATGTTGTATGTGTTGATGTTGTAGAATGAGTCTGCAGATTTTTAGTGCAGAAAATGGGGAAAACGCAGGAAACATTGATGATGATCTAACGGCGGAAGACTGTGGCTTTTTCTTTGCACCACCGGAACCTACAGGGAGACCTTCCATTCTACGCCTGTCCCAGAAAGAAAACTTGCCACCAAGAAGTGTGGCAAAAGCTATGAAGGTAAACTTTTGCTTTTGTTTTGTGTTCTTCTGCTTTCTATGATCTCTGCTCCTGAACTGATATGCTATTTGGAGCTTGAAAATATTGTGATGTTCATGCTCTTCCTTTCCGCCCCTCCCCCCACCCCCCCCCGCCCTTTCTTAAAGGTAACCTTTCAAACTCCTCTAAGAGATCCTCAAACTCGAAAAATCTTAAGTCCTACCATGACTGATAAACTTGAGGCTACTTTCATGCTTGATGATTGCAGCGAAACCTTGGTGGATGATCTTTTATCTGCACCTGTCAATGTTGAGTAAGTAATGTATTCACCGTAAGTAGTGTTAGCAGTGTGGGACATACTCAAGTTAATTTTCGCCATTGTAAACCTGTATAGTTAAAATGCAATTTTGTATTTCATAACAAGATGTAAATGGCATAAAAGGACCAAAATTAATGCTGACTTTGCACAAACTCTTTTTCAAAGATAACATTTTCTTAGAAGTAATGACAGTTGTCTTAGAGTTCAGTATTCAATATGACAACCACTTCTAACTCCTCAGTAACTGATTACATAGAGATGACTTATGAAATGGATAAATAGTTTAAGGGAAAAGAAGCACAGTAGGCAGAGAACACAAAACTGTTTCCTATGGTAACACTTTCATGTGAGACTACGACTGTTCTGAAGCTTATCCTTAAAGCTAAGCCTTAAAGTTTCTTCTCTTGTATGTTAAGTACAGTTGTATCTTAAGGAGAAAAATTTAAAGAGATAAATCTTCTGAAAGGTTAGCTTGAATTGACACCTTGAGTCAATAAGTATTAAGATTAAAGAAAATCTAGCAACACAAAGTGAATATAGCATCAATCCCAAGTACAAACAAGTTTGTGCGCCTTTATAGTCTAGCAGCCTGTGTCTCAGTGTCTTATGGTAGCTGTCTAGAGAAAAGCGTTAGGTCTGCAGTGTTCCAATTTGGGGTTTTGCAACTCTCCTTTACTATAAATATTGTTATAACAGTGTAGTACAATGTTAGTTAATATGTCTCAATGTCTGTTTCTGTTACTGACTTTTTTAGAACCCTTGTATAAACATCTGACATCTGTAATTCCCAGTGGCAAGAATTAGCACATCTTAGCTTCATCTTTTGCAAGGAAATAAATCCTTTTGCTTGTTTTTAACTACCCAGTACTTTCATTTGACCCTCATTGTTTTGGGAAGGGGGGAAGGGAGAAAGAGGGGAACACTTAAATGTTCTTTAGATGTATAGATATCTTCAATCGTTAACTTGCATGTGTACTGTAGTTTAAAAAAATACTTCTGAGCTAGCTACCACAATTTAAGTGACTTAATGGCATTTGTGCCCCAAACTTATTGCTTGCATGAATAAATGAAGACTCAGTACCTATAAGGTTCAAGTAAGTTACAAAGGGCTAGCACCAAATGGGTTTTAATTGGGGCATAATTGTGTGTCAAGAGACTTGCTTTTACTGTACATACTGTTTCTCTTTCTAAAACGCAAGGATCTAGCTTCAGCAAATAAGCAAATGGACTGAGTGTTGCTGAAGGGTGTCACTTTTGCCTAGGTTCAAGTAATTCAAGTTTCAAGCAGGTGTCTCGCTCTTGACTGGCATTTATTAGGTTAAACACTGGAGGAGAATGGGAGGGGCCTGAGTAGTTGAAGGAGCCTGGGGCTGAGCTGTTGCGGGGGAAGAGGCACTCCAACCGGGTGAGAAGGACTTCCTGGGCTCTTATCTCCCGCCTGTGCTTTCGGGTTTATCAAAGGGGTGTTTGTAGTGAGTGGCTTTTAATTATGTTCTGTTCTACAGCAGATACGAATGGCACAGAGAAATAATAACTTTACGAAGGGACAAAACAATGGGAGGAAATCCTGTTTCAGGAAGTAATGGCTTAACTCTCTGTAGTCTGAGGCCAAGCCTCAAAAGTTGGGTAGAGTTTGGGAAAGTGAAGTGAGAGCAATAACTCGTAGAATATTCAGGAGTAGTGAGTACACAAGCTCACTCTTTAACCTGTTTCTTCTGCTAGAGAATCTTAACTTTCTCTTACTGGAGAAGTGTTTTCTTATACCACTTTGCTCTTCAGATCTGCTGTTGTACTGAGTTTAAAGTGCCTGATCCAGATTCAGTTTTGGTGTGTAGGCAGTCATAGATGAAATGCTGGTGCATACTTTCAGGGGAAAATTATCTACCAGAATGACCAGACAAAGTAATGACCAGAATGGGAAAACCTGAATCATGACTTGGTTTGGTCCTAGACTTGTGAGTCTGTCATGATTCATAGATGAATCTACATGAAGATGTACTACTAGTTGTGCCTGTGTTTGAGCTGCTTGCTGTTAATATCTGTTCCTAAGCAATGCATATTTCACTGTCTAGTGAAATGGAAATTCCATATGCTGTCATCGGTAGAGCAGTCTCCAGTGCTGACTGGCATAAGGTAACATAGCTGTGTAGAACAGATAGTTTGTGAATACTGACTAGCTTAAAGGATTGATCTCCCTGTAGTTCAGAGCTCATAACTTCTGACTGTTTAGGTGGCAACTGAATTCTTGCTGTTAATGATATTCTTTTGCTGCCAGCTGCCTTATGTCAAAAAAATCTGATTAATCTGAGCATGCAAAGCTACTTGTGCAAGTATCTTTCTAAAGATGATTTCAAATTGTGTCTAAAATAGCTATAGCATGTGATCTCTTTTTTTAAATGCAGCACATTTCAACAAAACACTGAAGCTGAAGGAAACAATACAGTGATAAATACACAAATGCCAGAGAAGGTCAGCACAGCTCCTTACCCAGATGATGAGATGCCAGTGAAGAGTCGAGGTTCTTACAATCTTGATTTTGATAACTTAAATGACATCAATCCTTTTCAAAGTTCAGCACAGTTGCAGCATTCTCCTGGAAGTCTGCAAAGGTCTCCTGTAAAAGTATCTAGCAGCCCTGAGGGAACTTCTGAAAACAGTCATGATTCTCCTCTGCTGGATGATACAGCTCCTTTTGCTTCAACCACAGCAAGTGCAGAACGCTCAAGTGAGGAGAAGGCTCTCTTCTCTGGAAAAGAATCTATATTGAGAGAGCTGGAGTCTAACAAATCCAAGCTGTCCCCTGAGCAAGCAATCAGTGACTCTGTGCAGGATGTGAAGTCTGCTTCCACAGATGTGAGCCAAATTGATAATTCAGC